GACCAGCTGCGAGGTGGTTGCATGAATCGAGACAGCGAGGCAGGGAGACGAGACCAGAGGAGGAGGAGCAGGAGCAGAAGCAGGAGCAGGCACGCCTGACGTACTGCAACCCCCTGCTGCTTGACAATGAATGCGCAGCCCATGAATGCATCGCCCACGCCGCGCCGCGAAGGAGACAAGCACACATGCACGCGCACCACCCGCACACGCATCCGAAGCATGCGCGCACCGAGTGACACCGCGAAGCGCCCTGCTCGCATGCTCCGTCGTCGCGCGCCCACATGCCCAAGATCATTTCCCACCTGTGCTGTACAGCGCACGATTGCTTGTGCTGTGATGGCCGCGCCGGGCCTCGAACCCCCTCGGCAAACGATAGCCCCGGGCACCAGCAAAAACGGCGACCAGAAAGCGGACAACGGCGGAAAGAAGGAGCGCCCCCCAGAGCAAAAGGCAAGGCACACAATAAAGGGCACAACACAAGTAGACACCAAGGGCGAGCAAAACACCTCCTGCTACATGGCACGTGCTTCTCCTGGACATCCCATACTACGACGACGACGACGACGACGACGACGACGACGACGACGACGACGACGACGACGACGACGACGACGCGCGCCCCCTCCCGGGTCAGCCAAGAGCTGCCCGACAGACGGCCGGCAAGAAAAGCAGGCGATCCCACCCCGAAACAAGCACGAAAGCAGGCAAGGCAGGCACGGACAACGCTGGGCCCGACCAAGAGGGAGCAAAAGCAAAGAAACCGCAGCCCCCTCCCCAGACAGCCGCACGCCAAGCAGGCTGCTGGACAGCGGGCCGCTCCACAAGCTAGCAAAAGCAAAAGAGAGAAGCGGGAGCGTCGCGGGCGTCGGCGGCACTGACGGCGGCGGCCGCACATGGCCGGCTCGCCACGCCCGCCCCGCCGGGGCGACCAGGAGCGCCCCACGACGCCCGCGCCCCGCCCCAAACTACTACTACACATTAGAAAGAGCTCGAGCCAAAATGGCTTGGCTTGAGCCTCAATGGCTCGAGACAAAATGGCTACGGGAAGAAGCAAGAAAACATGGAGGGAGGCCCCACCCGTCGCGGGGGTGCACCGCCAAGCTGGTCCGACCTCACCCCGAGGGCACCTGTGGAGCCGCAGGGGGCGACGTAGGGGCTAGCGCGGAGGAGGAAGAGGAGGAAGAGGAGGAGGACGACGACGAGGAACGGGCAAGAGGCGCAGCACCGAGCACGTAGCCTCCGACGAATGTGACGCAAGCTGCGCGGGCAGGCTGAGCTGCTCCCTCTGCGAAGAGGACCCGGAGGAAAAGCTCGGGCCCCGCTGCCTGAAATGGCGCGCCGGACTCAGGGAGGAGATGCCGGAGCCTGAGGGAGGCGGGGCAAAAGACGAGGGCACGGCGCAGGCACGTGTTGGGCGCGCCACAGGCTGCACAGCGCGGCAACTGAGTGGGCAACTCAGTGAAGCCAAGCACGGGGAGGGGCCAACGCCCGGGCATCCGTGCTTCGGCCCACAGCCTGTACAAGAGCCAGAAGTCTGGGGGCCGCGCTTGCTCCAGCAGTTCCGCTGCGGGCAGCGCCCGGCCTGGGCAGAGCGCAGCGAAGGACCTACCTACCTAGCGCGGGGGGGATCGTGGACGCTGCTGCAGCAAAAGCTCTGCGGTCATATTCCAAGAAGATTGGGCGAAACACGTTTCTGCGGCAGTCGCGCAAGATGAGCCGCCTCTGACTCGGGTCAGCCCGCGCTGCCTCGATGGGAGGACCTGCGAACCCTGGGACAACACCGCTGCATGGCGGCACCGAGGGCAGTCGCGCCGCCAGCGACAGGGCGCCCGAGTCCCAAGACTGCGGGCGCAAGCAAATGGCGGCCTCTAGCATCAGGGCTGCCGGGTGGCCAGGGGGCAGGGCACGGAGGCGAGCGCGGGCTATGAGGGCGCGCTCGACAAAGCACGCGCCGAGCCGCATGGGCCAGCCACACTGGGCGACGACTATGCTGAACTTCAGCCGCGGGCCTGCGCGGCAACCTAAGAGCCGACGCCCCCATTCCACCTGCAAGCTGTTGAGCGTTGAATCTGCTTCAGGAACTGCTGCAAGCAGCGGAGCAGGATGGAGAATGGCAGACGCCACGCGAGAAGGAACCTGGGCGACCGCCACGGGCACGGAAAACCGCCCGCTTCGGCGGCCCACAACAGTTCCTCGGACAACGAACGGCCTCTACCTACCAGCTCGCGCAACAGCGGTCGGAAACTGAGGTCGGCATCGACCAGGATCCCAAGCAAGCGCTTCTTCTCGACGGAAGGGTGATCCGCGGCAAGCGTGGGCGGGGCATCGAGCACGGGAAGTACGCAAATTATAATACGTTCATAGGAAAACCGCGCTTGGAAGCGCAACGCGAACCTACTGCACGCCGACCGCGGCTCGTCTGCAAGGATTGCACGGACGCACACTTCGGAGGGGCAAGGCGCCGCTAGGTCGTCAACGAATTGGACTGGCGCCAGATGGCGCGAGCCAAGGCGCTCAACCACGGCGACGCGATCAGCCAGCGAGGGAAACTCCTGGAGCACTGCGCCGGCGAGATGGCCCGAGAGGGGCCACGGTGGGGCGTCGCCCCCAGCAGCCCTGATGGTCTCATGAACCGCCGCCTCCACCGCAGCCCCGGCACAGGGTGGGTCGTTGACAGTCCGAAGCGGCGTCGCCTCCCCAGCCTCCAACTGCGCCCGACAGGCGAAACGCGGCACAATTGCAGCGCAGCCTCCGGGTTGGATGGCGAGGACTTCCGCTGCCAGCGAACGCTGCTGCATGGTGAAAGCAGGGACCGAAAAGCGGCGGCCTTGCGCCGTGCCTCGCCGGAGTCTGCAGATGGGACTGAGGAGGCCGTGCAAGCAGATGCATTGAAGGTCCTGGGCGAGGATATCGTCCAGGAGAAGCCAATCGGGGCCGCGAACACCCGCCTCGAATGAGCCGAGAAGCATGGCGTCGAGCGACGCAATGTCGAAGGTCCATCTCCCATCGGCGAACGCCCACCAAGTGGGGGGCTCTTGGGCGCGTCGGAGCTGACTGCGCATTATCAGGGCTATGACGAGCGAGACCGCGCCCCCCACGCCTTCCTGCTGGTTCGGACCGCATTAGTCTTCCAAGCAGGCAGCACTCCTGGATAACCAGAGTGCGTCTTGCAAGCGGCGAAGGACATGGGTCGTAGGGGCGCAGTCTGGCGGACTACACGGGGCCCATTTTTGCGAATGGGCGTGAACTGGCGGAAAGACCAGAGATGGGCCGTGACACTGGTGGCCCTGGACAGATTCACAAGGGCACAAGGGCACGGGCAAGAGGCCTTCCGGCCAGGGGTGCCGCACGCAGAGAAGCGCTGCAACCGCGGATTGTACTATTATCTACCTTCAGCAAGGCCAAAGCGCTCTTGACCTCTAAGTCCGAATACGGCTGAAATTCAAACAACTTCTGGTGCGCGCACGCTCCGTTCCTGCAAACAAGGCCGACCTGCCGTGCCATGGCCTCCTCGGCCGCGGGGCCAACCGGAAAGTCATGTCTGTCCCTGGCCAGGATATCGTCCCGGACAGCGTTTACCATCTGCGCGCGCGACAGGGCGGGTCCCGACGATGGGTCGACGAGACGCACCTCGAACGCAGTGTGTTTCTGAAAGAAATTGGACAGGTACCGCTTCGCGGCACCGGCGTCAAGCTCACGCAGGCGCAGGCGTCTGCGAATGGCCCCGCGCCGCTCCTCCCAGGCTGCTTTGCTGACGGCAGCTTTGAATTTGACATGGGTCGCAAAGCCGGCCAGATCCAGAGACAGACGCGGGGTCGCGGCTTGACCCCGAGACGAGCCCCCTTAGCACCTTGGTGGCGCCAGCAACGTGGCCCACCAAGGTGTAAAGACGGCGCCCCTGGCCCAAGCAGCAACGTTAACGACTGCGCGGCGCTGCAGACGCGTCGCGCGTCCTCCACCCCACTGCGGACGGAGCACAGGGCAAGCGATTGCATCTCCGACTGCTCCCGCCAAGCTGGATAGCGTGCCAGAGACCGCCGTGAGGCCCGCGCCCCATTCGGAGCCCGAGGTCCATGCGACGCGCCCGAAGTCCGTGCGACGCGCCCGAAGCCCGCTGCCGACGGGGCCGTGCATTGCAACGGCGCACCAAGCAGGGCCAGGCGGTGGTCAGATAAACCAACAAACTCCGGAATCACCGTGACGGGCTGGGGCGCAGACCCATGACCGATAAAAATGTCGACGCGCGCGCCCGAAAAGTGCGCGGGAAGAGGGGGGTTGAAGGCCAGAGGGCCCGCATTCTCCAATCGGGCTCCCCGACCCGATGGCCTCAGGGTTAGGGGCGAGCACGCGAGGAGCTGTGTTCAAGTGGGCGCGCAGCGCTGCGACCTGGATGCCGCTCCGGGTGGTCGGGCGGGAGCTCCCTTGCCGTCTCGCCCGTGTGCTTGTGGACCCGCAGGTAGCCCCCAGACTCGCGGCCGAATTCCTCCCACAGGCCCAGTGTGTCCTGGAGGTGCGGCGCACATCAGTGACGTCGGAGAAAGGGTGATGTGCTCCTCCTTGTTTTTTGCAGCGGGGGCCCAGGCTGGGGCAGGCTGGCCCTACCCGTGGGCCTCCCAGCGTGCGCGGGGGCACAGACGCCCCGAGCGCAGTAATGTGATGGAGCTGATGCACCGCGGACGGCCAGGGGAGTTGCCGCTGCCGCTCGATGATGTGGCCAGGGTCGCCACCGCCGCTGCTGCGCCGTTGCCGTCGCCCTTGCCGCCGTCGGGCCACCGATGTCGCGTCGCGTCGAGCTCATGGTGATGGTTCTGCCCGCCCGCGCAGCCACCTCTCCCGCGCAGCCGGGCGCGCCGCCCGGTCGCGCGGCGTGGGCCGGCCGATGGAAGCTGATCGGAGCGCCCGTGCGCGGCCGGACGCCTTAGGAGAAGCGCAGAAGCAGCTGCGCCCCTTTCCGCTCTGACTGCCAAGAGCGGCTAGCGCGCAGCCCCCGCCGGCTGGAGGCCGCGGCGGCCCTGCGCGACGTCCTGGCGCTCTTGGAACTGCTGCCGCCGCGCCCTGCCCACATGCTGAGTGGAGCAGAGTCGGCGTTGCAAGAGCTGTGGGCCTTCGCTGATGAAGTGGCTTACATCCTGAAGCACGTCCTTACCGCGCCTCTGCGCGTGCTGGCCCCCCAGTCGCCAGTGGCGGGCTCCCCCTATGCCGGGCCGCCTCCTGTTGCGGAGGCTGCGCCGGTGGACGGGGCTCCTTTTGATGCCCCTGCCCGAGCGACCCTGCGCACTGCCACTTTAAACCCGGGCCGCTGTGGGTTCCTGCAGTTGGGGGCCGACCAGCTGCTGGAGTGGCGCCTCGAAGCGGTTGCTTTCGCCCTCGACGCCCGGTCAGTGGACATCTGTATTCTCCCGGGAGCTCGGTTCCCCGAGGGTGCGGCGCTCCCCGAGGGCTTCCCTTATTGTTGGGGTGGTGCCCGGTCCGCGGCGTGGAACTCTGTTGGCGTCTTCTTTCGCCCGGAAGTCGAACACATGCTTCGACCTCTGCCAGACCTCTCTTCGAACAGGGAGCAGTGGTTTGAGGTGTGGGGCGACGGGCCCAGGCAAGGCCCGGCCGTAGTTTTCTGCGCCTTCTACCCCAGGCACGGAGGGGATACAGACACTTGGAGATCCGTCGTGGCGCATGCGACGCTCTGCCAAGACCGGTACCCACACGCACGCGTGCTTCTCGGGGGGGACGGGAACGCCAATTTGGATTACTTGGTTGATCACCCGGAGCTTTGCACTTGCGCGCACTGTAAGCAGTCCTCTGCGGATAAAGAGACCCAGCAATGGCTGGAGGCTGCGGGGCCCCTGGCATTTAATCCCCCCACGCCGACGCATGTCTCAGGCACCTGCATCGACCTTTTTGTTAGTGTGAGGGCGTCGCCCCTCCCCGTGCACGTCCAGCCTGATTTGATTGCTCTATCTGACCATCGCCCAGTCATTGCAGAGGTGCCGTGCCAGTTTGCAGCCCCGTGGGCAGCGGGCCTTGGTAGAGTGGCCTGGACGTCGGGCCCCCAGTGGGACGAGGGCCTCAGGGAAATCTCAAGTACCCTCGAGGCGCTCAGCCGGTGCGTGGAAGAGGTGTCGAGCGCCTCGTGGTTACGGCCGCAGCGGTTCGGTGGCAGTGCCACCAGGTTGCAAAGGCGCGCGGTAGTTAACGTTGCGGCATGGGCCCGCGATGCCGTCTACACCTTGGTGGGGCACGCGGCTGGCGCCACCAAGGTGATGGGGGGCAAACGACAGGCCACCGCTCGTAAGCTGCTGGGCCCCGCCAGCTTTGCGTCGCACCATGAGTTTAAAATGGAAATAGCACGGGCTGCGTGGGGCGAGCGTAGGAGGGCGGTCCACCGTTTCTTGCATCTCCGGACCGTCAACCCTGGAGCCGCGGAGCGGTTCCTTTCGGGTTTCTACCAAATGCGAAAACGCTTTGACGTGAGGCTGGCAGACCCGACCACGGGGGCCACGATGCCACCCCCGGAGATGGTTGAGGCCGTCCAACGCGATCTTTTCGCGCGCGATAGGAACGATGTTGAGCAGGACCCGGAGGCCGCGGAGGCCATGGAGAGACAGGTTGCCAGGATCAGGAAAGCGAGTGCCCTGGAGGGCGCGCCTGCTCCGCCACCCCCGTATTCGGACACGGAAGTGATCGCTGTGCTGGAGGCTTTAAAACCGGGCAAACGTGGTGCATGGCTGCTACGCCGCCCTCCGGGCGGAGGCCCCTGCAGGGATACGCCTGACTAAGGCCCTGATGAACCTGGCACGCGCCGCCTGTGTGACTGCGACAATCTGGTCGCTGCGGCAGATCACGCCTCTTCGCAAGAGTGGCCCAGCGACCGTGCGTGCCGTGTCCGGCTTGCGGCCGATTTCAATCGCCACGGATATGGCGTCTGTTCAGGACGCCCTCTGGATTACTCGGAACAGCGGTCTGCTAGAGGCGTTTCGTGGGCCATGCCAGCAAGGCGGCGTTGGAGACGCCCTTACTCTTGTCGTGGGCTCGGTCGTGCAAGCCCAGCTGCGCCACGCGCAGGGCCTCCACACCTGGTGGGCCCTCGCGGACGGGAAGTGGGCTTTTGATGTGGCGTCGCGCCCTGTCATGTTGTTAGGTGTCTTCCAGGCCGGCGTGCGTGGGCCGGATTGGCTAGTGCTAGACGACGTAATGGCGCAGGATCACCAGTGCCTCTGCTTGCATGGGCTGCTCAGCCCGGTTTTCATGCTGCTACGCGGCACTGCCCAGGGCAGGCGTTTTTCTGCGCATGTTTTCAACACCCAGCTCCGCGGGCCCGCGGATGACATAGCGGACGTGCTCCCACAGGGCTGTAGCACGATCGTTCCGCCATTCGCCCGGGCAGCTTTGCTCGACGTGGTGGAAGACGCGCCGCCAGTGCACTGCGCCACCCCGCCGCGGGGGGAGCTCCAGCTCGACGGTGTCGTGAGGGAGGCGTCGCGTCTAGCAGCGGCGGACTTGACGCCGTGGCCGCAGGCGAGGCACTTCCTGAGCGGGGCCCTGAGTGAGCTGTCGTCGCTGGCCGGTCGCATTGACGTGGTGGAGCGTTTAGGGTCTCACCACTTAGCCTCCCCGCAGTTTGTAGATGACATCGCAACGCCTTGCCCGTCAGAGGGGGCCGCGGAGGCAGTGTTGTCCAAGGAGGCAGGGTCTGCCTGTAGCTGCTCCGCTCGGCGCGTAAAGAGCCGCTTGAATTACGAGAAGGATAAGACGGCGGCCCTGCCCCTCCTGGGTGCCCCCCAGCCTCTTTCTGCAGGGGCCCCAGTTGTGCTTACTAAGCGTCTCCAAGGCGCCCTAGTGGACGCTGGCCTCACCTTTTCAGCCGCTGCTCCAAGAGACACTTGCGAGAGGCAGGGGCCTTTTTGAAGATTTACTGCAGGCGGCCGAGTGCGGTGGCTTCTCTGTCCCGGTCACCGCAGCGAATGCCCCCCCGCGCGTGGAGTCGGTTACCCTGTATGCCTCTCCACTGCTGGCACTAGCCGCAGGGGCTAGAGCAGCGCTGAACCGCCTCCAGGTTGAGTGGGGCCACAAGCTCCTCGGCTGCCACCCGGGCCCGCCTGTCCGTCACAGCGTGGTAGTGGCGCACTGCGGTTGGCCGCTGCGGCTGGGCACGAAGCTTTTGGAGCGTGCCTTGGTGACACAAGCCAAGCTCGCCGTTCTCCCGTTGGAACACCCGGCGCCCAGGGCCTGGCAGGCGCCACGGGACATGCACGTCCCATCCTGGGACACCGCTGCGACTGCACTAACAGGGCGCCCCCCGTCGCCGCCGGTGCTGTTGGATAGGCACCCAGCATGTGTCGGGGAAAGGCTGGAGGCTGCGAGATGTCATCCCGAGCGGCGGAGAGCCCTCTTGGGGTGGTATCGCTGGCAGGTAGTCCGCCCGGCGTTGCTCGAGTACGACCAGCAAGTGTTCAGAAACGGGAAATGAAGTTGGAGCCAGATGCCATCAGCTACAAATCTAGGATCAGCGAGCGCGCGAAGGGCGAGCAGTGGCAGCGGGCTCTCTCGCTGCTCAGCGACATGTGGGAGGCGATGGTGGCGCCAAGAGTCAACAGCTACAATGCTGGGATCAGCGCGGGCGAGAAGAGGGAGCAGTGGCAACAGGCATTCGTGCTGCTCAGCGCGGTGCTGGGAACCGACGTCGTGGGTCACAGGCCTGGGCGCTCGCACGGCAGGCGGGCAGGGCCGGCGAGCGCTGCTGCCATTGGCCACCAGGCCGGGGCAGCTCTGGCGGCCTTCGCGGACGGCCTGGCCCGGGCGCGGAGGGGAGCCAGCCGGGCCAGGGCCTCGAGAGCTTCCGTGGCTTCACGCCGCCGGACGCCTCCGGAGGCCGAGGCACGCAGGGCCGGGCGGGCGGCGGCGGCTGGCGGCGCGAAGACGCGCAGTGGCCGGCGAGCTCGCCGGGCCGCCGGCGAGCCCGCCGGGCCGCCTAAGGCGCCTGCGGGCGTCGGCAGCCCCGCCAGGGGGCGACCCGGAGGGGGCCCGGTGCAGCGGCTCCTTTGGCTGCGGACTCGGCCAGGGACTGGGGCTGGGACTGGGACTGGGACTGGGACTGGGACTGGGACTGCGGTCGGGACTGGGACTGGGACTGGGACTGGGACTGGGACTGGGACTGGGACTGGGACTGGGACTGGGACTGGGACTGGGACTGGGACTGGGACTGGGACTGGGACTGGGACTGGGATCGGGACTGGGATTGGAACTGGGACCAGGATTGGGACCGGGACCGGGGCGGGGGCTGGGACTGGGACTGGGACTGAGACTGGGACTGGGACTTGGGACTGGGACTGGGACTGGGCCTGGGACTGGGACTGGGACTGGGCCTGGGACTGGGACTGGGGAAAAAAAAAAAAAAAAAAAAAAAAAAAAAAAAAAAAAAAAAAAAAAAAAAAAAAAAAAAAAAAAAAAAAAAAAAAAAAAAAAAAAAAAAAAAACTTCGCTGCGGCGCGCTCGTTTGCTGAGCTCTGCCTCCCCCGGACTGCGATCTTCTGGGGTGAAAGCACTACCGGGTGTGGCCGGTCACGCGTATGACGGGTTGCTGGCCGCTTGGCCCTTGGGGTCTGCCAGGCCACTCCCCCTCGGTGCGATGCGTGCGGTGCGGTGGACGTGGGCGTTGACCATCCCCTAGTGAAGTGATGGGCCACGACAGTGCACCAGGACCTGCTGGCAAGAGACCGCCCCCGCATCCAAGACTCTGCCCCAGAATTGGCCCTGCAGGTCCTCTTCTGCGAGGGTCTTCCATCGCGCGCCCGTACAGGGCACGTCAGTAATGTTGGAACTGCGGTGATGCACGCTGCTTGGCCGGCCCCGCCCCCGCCTCCCCCGCCGCCTCCTTCGCCGCCCCCGCCTCGCGCGTCTCCACCGTTTTCGGAGGGAGCTGGTGACTTGTGATCGTCGTCGTCGTCGTCGTCGTCGTGCCATTTTTCCCTGGCTGGTCTGACGGGACCTGCCTGTTCCGCCCTGCAGACCACGTGGCCGATTCGGGAACGATCGGGCCGTGGCATTGCTGTGCCTCCTCTGCCGCTCCCGCCTCGCGCGTCTCCTCCGTTTTCGGAGGGAGCTGGTGGCTTGCGATTCGCCCTGGCGCTTGGCCAGCTCCCCGGAGAGGCGTGTCGCACGATGAGGCTTTGCGGGACGAGGCCGCAAGGGCCAAGCACCGCACGTGACGGGAGGGAGGGCGGTTTCTCGCGATCCCGCGCTGTCCACTGTGAGTTAGGTGGGGAGAACGGCGCCCCCCCCCCCTCCACCCCTCCTTGCTCCGGTGAGGACCTGCGCTGTCCGCCCAGGTCGGGCGGGGAGGGCAGGTGGAGGTGCCGCAGATCTGCGGGAACGATGGGGCGTGAGAGACCACACCCTGGCGGCGCCCATATCTTCCCTCGGAGCGGCTGCTCGCGGCAGCAGTGAAGGGCGGCGCACCCGGGGCCGGGCGGCGGGCGTTCGGCGCGCGCCCAGCACGCAACCCGGTGGTGTCGTTTGAACGCGAAACGAAGCGAAGCAGTGGTGGAAACTTTCTGCGTAGCCCACTGTGCGTTAATGGGAAGGGCGGCACCTCTCCTGGCCCCCTCCCTCTCACGCCATGCAAACCCGAAACGGATAGCGACCGCACCCCCAGCACACCCCCTGTGGCGACGACAAAGCACCACGTCTGCCACGCCTTTCTAGCCCGAAACGGACCCCCTGTGCCATCGAGAAAACGCCACGCCTGCCGCACGTTGCGAGTCCGAAAGGGAGAGCGACGGCACACCCCGCACACAGAGACCACCCTTTCGCACCCCCCTTGGTGTCCAGACTGTGCTACGCCTGCTACGCTTTCGCGACAGTGTCGTGGAGACGGCCGCGCTCAAAGAGACCAACCCCTGCGCACCACCGCTGGTGTCCAGAACGCGCCACGCCTGCTGGGCTTTGCGACAGTGTCGTGGAGACGGCCGCGCGCAAGAGAGCACCCCCTGCGCACCCTGGAAGAAGTGCCAAGACAGCGCCACGCCTGCTAGTAGCGGCCGTGCTAAGAGCACCCCCAAAGTGACCTCCCACTGCGCACCCCCCACGGTGTCCAGATGGTGCCACGCCTGCTAGGCTTTGCGACAGTGTCGTGGCTACGGCCGCGCTCAGAGACCACCC